CTCAAGATACAGAAGGATCTTGACAGACTTGAACATTGGGCGCTATCTAACAAAATGAAATTCAATGGTGAAAAAAGTAAGGTTCTACATTTAGGCAAGAAAAACAAACAGTATATGTGGTACTTTGTACAATAGTAGTAACTGTGAGAAGGATCTTGGATAACCTAGTGGATAACCATTTAGATATGAGCCAGCAGTGTGCAGCAGCTGCCAAAATAGCCAACACAGTTCTGGGCTGCATAAACAGACGGATAGAATCAAGGTCACGTGAAGTGTTAATACCACTGCTTTGGTAAGGTCACAATTGGAATACTGCATTCAGTTTTGGTCACCATGATATGTAAAAAAGATGTTGAGACTTTAGAAAGAGTGCAGAGAAGAGCAACAAAGATGATTAGGGGACTGGAGGCTAAAACATATGAAGAACGGTTGCAGGAACTGGGTATGTCTAGTTTAAAATAAAGAAGGACTAGAGGAGACATGATACCAGTGTTCCAATATCTCAGGAGTTACCACAAAGAAGAAGAAGTCAAACTATTCTCCAAAGCACCAGAGGGTAGAACAAGAAGCAATGGGTGGAAACTAATCAAGGAGAGAAGCAACTTAGAACTAAGGAGAAATTTCCTGACAGTTAGAACAATTAATCAGTGGAACAACTTGCCTGCAGAAGTGTGAATGCTCCAACACTGGAAATTTTTAAGATGATATTGGATAACCATTTATCTGAAGTGGTGTAGGGTTTCCTGCCTAAGCAGGGAGCTGGACTAGAAGACCTCCAAGGTCCCTTCCAATTCTGTTATTCTATTCTGTTCTGTTCTGTTCTGTTCTATTCTAATTTCACATGCTAGTAAAGTTATGCTTAAAATCCTACAAGCTAGGCTCCAGCAATATGTGGATCGAGAACTACCAGAAGTACAGACAGGATTTCAAAGAGACAGAGGAACTAGAGATCAAATTGCCAACATATGCTGGATCATGGAGAAAGCTAGGGAGTTCCAGAAAAACATCTACTTCTGCTTCAGTGACTATGCTAAAGCCTTTGATTGTGTGGATCACAACAAATTGTGGCAAGTTCTTGAAGAGATGGGAGTACCAGACCATCTGATTCATCTCTTGAAAAACCTATATGCGGGTCAAGAAGCAACAGTGAGAACTGGACACGGAACCACTGATTGATTCAAAATTGGAAAAGGAGTCCAGCAAGGCTGTATACTGTTGCCCTGCCTATTTAACTTATATGTAGAGCACATCATGAGAAAGATGGGGCTAGATGAGTCAAAAGTTGGAATTAAGATTTCTGGGAGAAATATCAACAACCTCAGATATGCAGATGATACCACTCTAATGGCAGAAAGTGAAGAGGAACTAAAGAGCCTCTTGATGCGGGTGAAAGAGGAGAGTGCAAAAGTTGGCTTGAAACTCAACATTAAGAAAACTGAGATCATGGCATCCAGCCCTCTCAATTCCTGGCAAACAGATGGGGAAGAATGGAGGTAGTGACAGATTTTATTTTCCTGGGCTCCAAGATCACCGCAGATGGGGACTGCAGCCAAGAAATTAAAAGATGCTTGCTCCTGGGGAGGAAAGCTATGGCAAATCTAGACAGCATAATAAAAACAGAGATATCACCCTGCCAACAAAAGTGCATATAGTCAAGGCTATGGTTTTCCCAGTTGCAATGTATGGCTGTGAAAGTTGGACCATAAGAAAGGCTAAGAGCCAAAAAATTGAGGCCTTTGAACTATGGTGCTGGAGAAGACTCCTGTGAGTCCCTTGGATTGCAAGGCGATCAATCCGGTCAGCCCTAGAGGAGATCAACCCTGACTGCTCTTTAGAAGACCAGATCCTGAAGATGAAACTCAAACATACTGGCCACCTAATGAGAAGGAAGGACTCACTGGAGAAGAGCCTAATGCTGGGAACGATTGAGGGCAAAAGAAGGGGACGGCAGAGAACGAGGTGGCTGGATGGAGTCACTGAAGCAATCGGCGTGAGCTTAAATGGACTCTGGGGGATGGTAGAAGACAGGAAGGCCTAGGGGAGTGTTGTCCATGGAGTCGCGATGGGTCGGACACGACTTTCCAAATAACAACAACTAAAAAGTAAAAACATATGAGAATTTCAACCTGTAGATAATGTAATTTACAAGTCACACTGTATTTTTAATTACAAAAACTTTAGAAATTATTTATTTTTTTCCTACCACACACACTCCTGGACTGACCGGCCATATTGCCACCCATTCCTTTCTCACCTCTCATCTGAATCACTACAATGTGCACAAGATGGTTCTGTCCTTGAAGACCACTCAGAAATTACAGTTAATCCAGAATGGTGCCATGAGTAATTAGAGGACCACTCCTAATATCCATGTGACATTGCTGCTTTTCTAGCTGATTGCCAGAAAGTTTCCAGCAGCAATTTAAGGTGCTGGTTTTGTCCTACTAAGCCTTTCATGTCAAAGTGCACAGAGATTTTGAAACTGCCTGTCTTTAATTAATACTGCCCAACTGATAGGATCTGAAAGGGTAAACACAGCTTTAGATTTTGTCACTCAAAGTGCCATTTGGTGGATAATATACATAATCTGTTACTATATCTGACCTTTGGAACCAAATTCTCCCTGAAAACTGGATTGCCCCAATTCTGCCTGTTTTGAAAGGCTTTAAAAACTTGGTTCTTTCCACAGACATTGGGTAAACAAGATTTGTGCCAATTTTGACTCATTTTTGTTTTGAAATGACTGAAGTTGCGTCCAGCACAATATGTTTTAATATACTTTAATTCTGAAGGGCTATTATGTTATGTTTACACAATATTGGAATATGGTGATTGAGAGGCTACATAAATAGATTTGATAAATAAAATTGAAGAAATTCAATGTTGTTTATGTAAATGCTGGATCTAACCTCAAGTCATACTTAGATCCACTAAAATAAATGAAATCAGGACGGTTATGAGATATCAGCACCACTAATTTTGATGGAACTATACTAAGTAATATATTTGCTATGAGCATTTAATTCACTTTAATATTCAGCTCTATACAACTTTCAATTTTTTTAAAAAAAATTGATTTATATGCCGCCCTTCTCCGGAGACTCAGGGCGGCTTACAATGCCTTAAGCAATAGCCTTCATACTTTTGTATATTTATACAAAGTCAGCTTATTGCCCCCACAAACTGGGTCCTCATTTTACCTACCTTAGAAAGGATGGAAGGCTGAGACAACCTTGAGCCTGGTGAGATTCGAACTTACAGTAATTGCAGACAGCTGGTGTTAATCACAATGCTTTTTAGTCTGCTGAGCCACCAGGCCCATTTGCTTACCAACATTGGAAAACAGTATCAATTTTATTATGTCTCATTGTGTCTCTTTAGTAATGCCTGATTGGGAAATGATTGATATCCTATATGGAACTTTACAGGTAGTCCTCTAAACAGTTTGTTTAGTGACCAAAGTTACAATGGCACTGAAAAAAGTAACTTATGACCATTTTTCACAGTTATGACCTTTGCAGCAACCCTATGATCATATGATCAAAATCCATATTTATGACGGTTGCAGTGTCCCAAGGTCATGTGATCACCTTTTGTGACCTTCTGACAAGCAAAGTCAACAGGGAAACCAGATTCACTTAACAACTAGGTTACTAACTAATCAACTACAGTGATTCATTTAACAACTGTGACAAGAAAGGTTGTAAAACAGGGCAAAGCTCACTTAACAAATGTCTCACTTAACAAAATAAATTTTGGGCTCAATTGTGGTCATACTTTGAGGACTATCTATACTGAATTTCCTGAAGGCAGAAAGTTAGAATGTAAATATAAAAGTAGTGTTGAAAAGTTTAAACCTAAGAAACTAGAATACATGCTTGTGTAACCCAATTGAAATTTATCAGCACTTACTCCCAATACTTATAATTATATAAGGTTACAAACTTACTTGATATAAATCTTCTGAATTATAAAAATTGGAGACCAACTATTTAAAAAAATTATGCAGGTTGTCCTCAACTTACAACAGTTCATTTAGTGACCATTTGAAGTTACAACGGCACTGAAAAAGTGACTTGTGACCATTTTTCACACTTATGACCACTGCAGCATCCCTATGGTCACCTGAACCAAATGCAGATGCTTGGCAAGCAACTCATATTTATGACAGCTGTAATGTCCCCGGGTCATGTGATCCCCTTTTGTGACCTTCTGACAAGCAAAGTCAATGGGGAAGCCAGATTCACTTCACAACCCTGGTACTAATTGTGGTCAAAAGTCGAGGTCAACCTGTACATAAATCTGGAGACCAGCATCATTTTGAAAAATACTTTATAAATTATTTGAATGTCATTTGTTTGTATTACAGCAAACTACACCTTCACCATACAAAACCAGGAAATATTTAATAGAGAATTGCTTTTAACCACAAGTAGGTGTATATGGGTTTTTAACACTAGCAACTACTTAAAAATTTGCAGTAGCTTCAGCATCCCCTTTCTTACACCTACCGTATTAACTCTTAAGAAGTCATAATCTAATGAAGGATACACATAAAATCTGAAGTAATGAAATATATAACCATATAAGCGATTGGTTAATCGATGGAGAGCAAGGAAGAGATTAAATTTAGGGAGAGTTAAATTTATACTTAAAACTAGGAAAGGTAAGTGAAGCACAAACAGCTTTCCAAGGAAAGAATTACAGTGACTTAATCTTCGGAAACTTGTATGAAAATGAATTCGTCAAGTCTCTTAAGCTCCAGAAGACCCTTCGGTGTTAGTTACAGCAGCAACAACCAAGACGGTTCCCTCCTTCGAAACCATTTACTCCGCAAGCCTCTTAAATCACTCGGTACACTTGAAGCTGTGCAACGAACCGCCCCAGGGGACCAAACGCATGTCAAACCCTGCGATCGCCTTGGGATCCAACACTGCCCTCAGGAGGAAGAGAAGCCGTTTGCAAATGGACCAAAAGCCCCCTCCCAGCGGCCCTCGCACCTTCACTCTCCCACCAGAGTCAGGCCCGAACTCAGCCATTCTTTTGAACATATTGCACCGGAAGGGAAGGCTCCTCGCGCCGCTCTAGCGCAGCCAGGGCAAGGCCGGCCTCATCTGCCCGCCCATCGGCCGCGAGACTAGGGAAACTCTCCCTTCTCTCCGCAACCCGGCGTCCCCGCTCTGAGAGAAGTCCGCGACCCTCATACAATAGCTTCCGGGTGAGAACAACGTAAACGCACATCTTGCGGCCGCCTTCCCATTCCCTGCAGAAAGCAGCGGTTTGGTTAGGTCACGTGATCTCCCGCCGCTTTAGTTTGGCGAACCGGAGATAAACGTGAAAGGCTAGAAAAAGAAAACAAAAACTCCATTCTTGGTGTGTGGCGGTCTTGCTGGTTGTAGTCAAGTGCTACATTTTGGAACCCCAATGTAAGATTATAAATTCAATTCTGAGTTACTGGCAGCTGTTGAGATGCTCCTCGGAAGTTTCTGTAATCCATGTTAGCATCCTATGAGAAACGCCTATTTGAATTCCGTGTTTCATAATACGTCTATATACCAAGCTTTCTCAAAGTTATCTACACTTACACTAAAGCACTTGCAATACTGTTGTTGTAACCTAATAAATTTTATATATGAAAACCATCAATTGAATATGATATATAACATATCCGTCTTAGGCTTTGAGTTAATATACTTCCTATTAAATTCATTTAATGTATTTTATTCCCTATGCTTTTTATAAAGCTAGAATTGAAAGGAGACATCAAAGAACTAGTTTAGTGGTTAAGGAAGACATCAATCTAGAAACTGGGAAACCATAAATTCTAGCTCTTCCAGCTGAGTTATTTTGGGTTAGTAGTCATTCTTTCAGCCATAAGACTGAGTTCATACACTATTGTTGGAGTGGACATCACAAATCTATTTTTCTCCCAAGAATGTTGCACTAGTGCTCTTATAGCACTATGCTAGTTTCAAATGAAAAATCGATATCCAACAAATAGAAAACATTAACTTTAGGATTGTTATAAGGAATTCTTAGTGATATCTTAATGGTAAACCTATTGAACCCGCCCTTCCAAAATACCCCACTATTTACTTTAAAATACAAGTTTATTATTTTTTTTTACATCTAACCTATGTCAGGGATGTCAAATTCACATCATCACGTGACGTATCTTTTCCTTTGCTAAAATGGGGTGGGCATGGCCAGCATCTGACGCATCCACCTGCGGGCCATGAGTTTGACACCCCTATTCTATATATATATGTGAGCTTCAGCTTGTCTTAATTGTTAACTCTTGTTACCTTTAAACTTCATAAGTTACAGGGACAAGTTTAAAGTCCCAATGAAACATGTTCATGGTTCTGAATTTAATAATATCTGAATCTTTTGCCATTCTGTCTTTTAATTTAAATCTCATATGGGTTCATCTGGAATGTAGCTCATCTTCTTTCTTCAGGAGAAAACAGGATAGTACCTGAAAATTAAGAACTAGCAGACTGAAAATATTTTTAAGGGCATTGATAAAATCTTCTGTGGGGAAAATAAATGGATCAAAGTATAGTTGATGGAGAATGTAGAGACAGCTTTAAGAGAAATTTTACACTGAGAAGGAAGTTAAAATAATCAAGTATGAAACGAACAGAACAAAATGGATTCGCAAGGATATTTGGTCAAGTTCAGAACTGGAAATACTGTAAATTGATTATTTCATTATACAAATGTACATTATAGACTAGGATGAAAGCAGAAATATTAAAGATTTGTGCCATCAAAGCACAAATTACACTGTGCTTACATTTGTTTGCATGAATGTGTGCAGAGAACAGTAGTAAATCATTGTGTGTTTACATAGCAACAATTGACATAAAAAGTGATTAACGTTTCTATTTTATTTTTCACAAGGTATTTTGTTCAGCTTGTTACTTTTCCTTTTTTCAGAAAGAGCAGCTTACATTTAACTTCAAAAAAAGTTCCATAGTTCCATGAAAAAAGACAAAACAGACTTAAGCTTTCATTAAAATGTGCTTTATTTTTCCCCATAAAAGGAAACTTCTTTTGCAGTTTAAAAGACCCAACAAATGGTTCAATACCAAATTCTTAACAGTCACCTAAAGACTAGAAATAAGGGTAATTAAAATTATCAAATGATCAAATAGAAGTGAAATGAAATTTTAAAAGCCATTTCTACAGGAAGAGATTTGCTTTATAAAATTTCATATAGTATGACATTATTCCCTCTTACCTTGTGAAGCCATTTAAGTTCCAAAAATTCAACACATTCAAGATGTTCTTGAGCTGCCAGGTATTAGAAAGTCAAAAGAACCTGGGTTGGTTACATATACCAATCAATTTAAAATCTTAGTGTACACAGTGCTTTTACTTTCATGTAAACTTTTGTGCAAACTATGACATAATAAATCCCAACCCCAGCCATGTAAAAGTATATAAAGAAGAAGTGGTTAGCTCCACAGGCACTAAAGAAGTATAAAATGAAAGTTAAATCTCCCCACTTTTAAGGCAACGTATTTACAAGTAAATTCATAGAATCTCAATGTTTCACAAAAAATAAGCTGGTATCTAAATCATGCCAAATCCGTCAATAAGGAATGCAAGATCACAGCTGCTTGGCATTTAATTTCACTTTCAAGAAAAGCAATTATAAATTATTCTAGGAATCCAATTGAAAAACATTCCCTCCTCTGCTTCAAGTGTGCACCTGATGTGTCATGTGAGAATAGATAGCATAAAGGAAGTTCTTCAAAGAGGTACCTGCCTATTTTGGCTCTTTCCACCATCAGCAGCAACTTCTCAATAACCTGCCAATAAGGCAATTAGCTTTCATCTCCCCACCCCTTTATATAGGACATCCTACTCGAAATGCTGACTAATTCGACATTTTGTGGAAGCTTCTAAAAAATTTACCTAACAAGATTCTCAATAACTACAAAGATAAATTGTCTCAGAGTTGGAAGAAAATTGTAAAATCCTCTAATCCCCAAAGTTTAATACAATATTAAAAAAAAAAGATGTCATTCTCCATGGAGAAAGCAGGGCTCTGCAGCACTTCAAATTCAAAGGCAAAAAAGTATTCAGAGTATATAAGGGGCAAACATATCATTAGTTTGTATCGTTTCAAAGTAGTTATCTCCTTTCCCAACGTCATGATGCAGGGGTGCGAGTTCAGAGAAATACTTATTTAAGGTGTTGCAGATAGGCATTACATTTGTGTCTCTGCATGATCTGAAGCATTATTTTGCTTCTAAATCCAAAGTGTGGCAGAGTTCCATGTTTATTGCATTTTTGGATCTCAGCAGAAATATGGTCTTACAACATTCTTTCATTTTGCCCTGCTGCAGTCCCATGTGCTATTCCAGAGAATGTCTTCTCAAAAATGACTTTTGATTTGAAAGACTGTACCCAAAAGCTTGAAATAATCTACATTTGTAATATGGATACTGTGGCATTATTTTTATTTAAACTAATAATTTACAACTGTAAAGAGAGAAAGCAATATTTGATGGAAATGAAATGTATTAATAGTTCACATAAGCATGTGTATGTTTGCTGATGGCATAGTTTGTACACATACATAAGGAGTATCAAAGTTTCTTATATAAAATATTTCTAATGTGCTTTTTAAAATACCTTGTTCTCAGATTAGCTATCTGGTTGTTAAATAAATCCCTACTATTCTTTCTTGCTCAGATGAAAATGTTATTTTCATTAACACAATTTTGCCTATTTCTCAGATTTTTAAGATTGACAAACAGTTGAAGTATGCACATTTTACAGAGTATGTTTAATGCTTTTACATTAAAAGCTGCATTTTAAGGCTGTGAAATCTTACATCAAACAAGTAAACAATGTGAATAAGACCCTACATATAAAAAATAGTAGTAAACTGAAGTTGGAGTGAGAATCTAACCACTATCCAATATTGTATTTACAAAAGAGTTCTTAAAACTGAAGTCATTATATACATTTAAAACCTGCAGTTCGTATTTGACAAAACTTGAACAACCAAATAATCCAGGGATAATCAAAATCAGTCAAGCACACACAATCTCAAAACTAACCAGGATTTTCACTCTAAAATTAATTACGAAATCTAAACATAAATAACATGCATTGCATTCCCACTGCAATATTTGCAATCAGGCTTTTGGACAGACACATGATAGCTAATGGGCAAGATTTTAAAACAAGAGAGTGCATATCTGCTTAGTATGCAATTTGAAAATTTATTCTAAAAACAAAGTTATCCAGCTATATGTATTGTTAGCTCAATGCACTGAGAGAAAAACTATCCAATTAATAAATTCACTGTTCTGGGTTAAGTTTGAATTAGTTCCAGGAATACCACCTGCTGCAACCATGCACATTAAGAAATGTGACAATGACATTACAGGCAGATGCTGACATACCTAAGGACATTAATCAATCAATTTAGTTCTGTGTTTTGCTTTTAATTCATATTGATAAAAACATAAACTACCTCTTTTTAATCTACGAATATCTATATACAGAACATCAAGTACCTACTTGGACACATTTTCCTGTCAGAAGCAGAATAAATACAGAAATCCAAACAAACTTCAATAGAAACCTAGAAAATATCCAGATTTTTGTTACTGTCCATTGAGTATGCCCAATAATATATCCTGAGTTTGCTCACAGACGTATCACAACTGGAATGCCTTCATTTGTCTTAATATCTTTGGAATTCTTTAAATGTTAATTAAAATTAATAATTCAGATTGGAAAATATTTTTACCCACAATTTACTACCACACATCAGAAACTTTCACACAACATATATAAAAAGTTATCCAAAAAAAACCATTCATACTTTGATTTTTGGCAAATCCATTGCCAGCAATGGAAATCTTGAGAAGAAAACATAAAATAATCTATATACAGCAATAACACTACCTTTCAACTGTAAAAAGTTACACTAAAGTAAGTTATGATTTTAAATTATTTTCATTTTGGTTCTTGGATACTTAAAGTTTTCCAAATAAAATTTATCCATGATGCATATCTAACTTACCTGGCTGTTTCTTCAGCTTTTGGTGTTTCCAGTTTTTAGTCCAGATTCTTTGGGCACATTCTAGCTAATTAAATATGCATTACTGTACTGGAATTCTTAGGGCTACGACAACCACCCTAGATAAACAAGCCATTCCAAGTATGTGAACAATTTCCCATTT